CACGCATGCCAGGCGATCGCGCTACTGCTTGAGCCGCATCCCCAGCCCCCAAGTACTGGTATTGACGGTGGTAGCAGAGTGCTTGCCTAGCAAGGGCCTGCTTTTGAATCCATGAAAGAAAGAAAATTCTAGTAGTATGATCTCAGAACCAATAACCCTCTTTCCTAATTATCTGACCAATTTACATAAACTTTCCCATGATTTTAGGAATTTCAGAGAGGTAATTAGATGCCGAAACAAATACATGAGAATACTCTAAAATTCACTGAAAAAGTGCCTCAAAATAATTCTGTTTGAAAAGGATATGCGCCACATGTCACCAAATTTGTTATACAGTGAGAATGCAAGCTAGCATAATGATTAGGCTAAGTGTACGGGTAATAAAGATATAATATGAAAGTCAGAAAAAAAAGCACTTCTACTAAGCATGTGCTTAATTAAAGAACAAGGTTATAAACACTTACTTCATCTCTAGAACTTCCTCTAAGTGTTTCCTTCTCTCTGCCCGAAGATTGGTCAAATGAGTTTCCTTTTCTGCCAGAGACTGCTGAGTGGAAGACAGTTTTGCTTTCATGGACTCTAGTTCCTGCTTTACTTTCTCCATGGCCATCAATAGCTCCTCCACCTATGACAAAAATGGAAAGGAGAAAAAGAGAACATTTTGACCATTTAAGAGTCAGCGAAGCTGCACCATAGGCAACTACTGGGCCCATAAAATTGAGGGTACACAAGAATACACAAAAATTTCTCTACTCTTTCTGGATCAGACCTACATATCAAGATATAGTCAATAATGACTTCCTGATTCTGTAATTCTTTTTAATTTAGATCAGAAATAACTTATTTTTTTCTGGTATGTACATATATGATTTTCTTTTTGAAAGTGCATATATAAGTCATAGTTCAAGAAATCACACTTTGGGCTGGGGTTGTAGCTCTGTGGCAGAGCACTTGCCTTGTCCATATGAGGCACTGGATTCAATCTTCAACACCATATAAAAATAAATAAAAAATATAAAGATATTATGTTTTTGTATAACTAAAAAAATGCTAAAAATAGAAGCAACACTTTACTATAGAAAATCCCTATATGAATGTTGTTTGAAAATGGTCCAGAAATTTCCATGGAAATAAAACACAAAAATACAAAGAAAAAAATCATAATAAATATTGATAGGAGAATTTTAGGAAATAAAGGACATAAACTTAAAAAGATTCAGCATACACATAGTTATAAATATATATATATAGTATATGTATAAAAAACTATATATATATATAGATTTTATACACCTAAAGTATTTTTATTGTTTACACAATTAAGAATTTTTTTTTAAATAGCAGCCTATTGTCCCCCAGCACTATTAAAAAAAAAAAAGTCATAATTCAACCAAACAGCTACTTACTGTAACGCCAGGCAAATAGACTTTTTTTTTTTTTTTTTTTAAAGAAAGACTGAGGGGACTGAGGAGACCAGTATCTGTCTGGTTGATACTGTTCTATCAACCAGATGGATAGGACATCAAATGCTTTAAATACACTGGGGTAGGAGGTGGAGGAACCTTGATAGAAACAGACCTGAAAAACAAATAAAAACCACCCAAGGTGTGCATGAAGGGTGGAGGAGGGGATGCTAAATCATATGGAAAAGAAACTCAGAGAGCAAGATATGTACTTTTCTACTTACTCTGGGTGTTTACCTAATCAGAATTATTTAAATAAATAAGGTCATTTTAATTCAGAAGTAAAAATAATGCTGATGAAAACATGTGTTATCACCAAAAAATAACCTCAACCAGGTAAGAAAATAGCCAACTGCATGGGTACTGCTTTTCAAGAAATAATCTTGGTGACAACAGATCTTTTCAGAAGTTGCGATAGGGATAGGTAGAGCATTTATCATTTCTTGACTCCTACATAAACTAATTGGTGTGATACTGAAACTAAGCGCTGTCTGGAGAAAAAACTGCAGTAAAATACACCAGAGTTGTTCACTGACCCCTAGAAATTAATGTCTGGTAACTAATCACATCTTGCTGTAGACTGGAATCAGCTGCTAAATACTCATAGAAGCAGATATATTTTGTTTTTTGGCACGTGCATTATTTTACAGAAGTAATCAAGTTGATGTCCTCAGCTAATGGGATCCTCACAGTCCAAGTTACCATGAGAATATACTGTCATGCAGATTTCCTTGGGTATGTATTAACATCTGCAAGTTTTATATGAATATATATCTCCCTCTGCCTTGTAAGAACTACTGAAAAGATTGATTCAATTTTATTAGTTTAACTCATGTAAAATCTTATCTAAAATTGTGTACAAATGTTAAGTTCTTATGATAACACAAAATCAATAGTAGATAAGCACCATTTGTGACCCTCTTTTATGGATTTACCTAAACAGATCTCAAAAAGTCTCCCTTCCACTCTATCCTTCACCATTTCAGGCAACCTGTGATATTAGCTTCTTAATAACTTGGAGAAATATTTTGCATGTACACAAGCAGGCATACATAATGTTGATTCCTCCTTTTCCTACCCAAAAGGATGACAATTCTATACACACTCACAAGCATCGAAACTTTTTTGTTCAATCTTTTAGTACAACATAAATACAGAAAAAAATACTCAGACAATAAATGTACTCATTGAAGAATTTTCTGAGTGAACCCATCTTTGTAATCAGCACATAGATCCATAAACAGAATACTATCAGTACTATAGAAACCACCCTTATATCACCTTTCCAGATAAGGGTATTCACTATTCTGTTTTTCCACACTCTAGTCTAGTTTGCATTTTTGCTTTAATTTTGTACAAATAGAATTGAAAAAGCATATCATTTTACAGATTTTCTCAGTGTTAAATCTGTGAGATTCATCCACATTTTTAGGTATAAATACAGTTCTGAAATTCTCATGATTCTATGCTATTATACTATGTGAAAATACCATAATTTATTTAAGAGAGTTGGATAAAGAGAATTTTTTTTACTTTTCATTGAGTTTAATTAATTTTTCTTTATATTTTTTCTATGTTAAGAGCACTTTGTACACTGAATAATATTTTTACTACTTTAGGGTTATAAGGATACACACACAAAAAAAAACCCCACTTGATTTCTGTATATATTATAATGGTCAAAATTCATTTTTTTAAACTAATATAGATACTTGACTGAGAACTATAAACAGCACAAATTTCAAAAATCATGATTAGAAATAAATTTCCACCTATTCTGAAAAATATCAGAAATTAAAGACTACTTATGATATATAGGAAAAATGTTTCAACAACACTTCATATTGTAAACAACAAATTTTAAATTTCATAAATGAACAATTTATGAATGCATTTAAAAAGTCTTATATATATATATATATATATATGTTTCAGGATTAAGAACAAAACACACATCTACATACAGGAGTCCTCCCTTATTGATGATTTTGCCCGTGGCAGTTTTCAGTCACCCAAAGTCCGGAAATAAACGATTTGTAAGTTTTAAATTGTGCACTGTACTGAGTAACATAATAAAATCTCACACTGTCCTCCTCTATCCGTCCTGGAATGTGAATTCTTTCTTTGTTCTGTGGCTCCCACCTGCCTATCAATAATTTAGTAATTATATCAGTTATCAGATGCAGTGCCTTGGACTTTTAGGGTTTGTATTCAAGTAATCCTTATTTTATTTAATAATGCCCTGAAGTATTAAGTTGCAATTCAAATATGCCAAAAAGAAGTAAAGTGCTTCCTTTAAACAAAAGAAGAAAAGTATAATAAGACATTTTGAAAGAAAGTATATGTCCATTCACATAATTATTATTATACATTGTTGGAATTACTCTATTTTTAGTTCTTGTTGCTAATTGTGTCAATTCTTAAATTTTATCATAGGTATACATGTACATGTGTAACAATATATTGCATATAGAATTCAGTATTATTTGTGGTTTTAAGCATCCATGGAAGGGGCAGGTCTTAGAAAGTATCTCCCACACATAAGGGAGAATCACTATAATCACTACCCAGGAGCATTGAAAGTACAGTTATCCAACTGTATGTATTCCACTAAATCTCCTGAGAAAGGTAATTTATGTTACTTTTTCCCTTATGTGTCTCTTTTTAACCTCATGTATGTATTTTATATGTACAATCTCCAAATAAAACACTACTCATTTTTATCAGTTTATGAACTTGTATAAATAAAATCTTTCTTACTTCATCCAACATTGTTTTTCATGAATATTTTTTAAAAAACCTACCATATGTGTGTATTCTACAACCAAGAGCAAAACAGCCCCCATGTACTCACCACCCAGAAGTGAGAAGCAATGACAACCCAGCAATACTGACCACTGTGGCAGTCAGATTATGGTTTACCACTAAATTGAACAGGCTCCTTAGAAAAATGGTTGAGTCCAGATTTGGGGCTAGAAACATACAAATCATCTTTGCACATCTTGTGCTATAAAGCAAGAAAAACAGGGATCAAGGTAAAAGGACACCAAAATTGGTGCCCAAACCAACTTAAGATATCATGTTGGAGGAGGTGTGAGTGACTACAGAAAGAAGTGAAAAAAGCAATTCACATCCTCTATGAACATAGATACAAAAATGCTCACTGAAATACTCAGAAACCCAAACATGAACATAGTATCATGTAAAAACTGGGACTTACCCAAAGAATGGAAGTTGGTTTAAAATCATATTGAAGAATACAATATAAAAATCATATTGTTATTTCAATAAATGTACAGAAAGCATTTACCAATTCCTAACATCCTTTTTATGATAAAACACTTTAAAAATTAGGAATAGAAAAAACTCCCTAAAATGATGGACCAAGAACAAAATCAGACTACTTGCTCTCGCTACTTCTATTTAACATTGTACTAGAGATAGAAAAATTAAGCCTTGCAAAAAGAATAAAAATTATCCTGGGCTGGGGCTGTAGCACAGTGGTAGAGTGCTTGCCTAGCATGTGTAAGACACTAGGTTCAATCCTCAGCACCACATAAAAATAAATAAAGGTCTGTCAACAACTAAAACAAGATTAAAAAATAAAAAGTTACCCATATTGCAAGGAAATCATAAAACTTCCTCTAGTTGAAGATGACATGCTGTTGTGTAGAGAAAAATCCTAAGGAATCTACTAAGAATCATTTATAATGAATAGAAGAACATTGTTGGATACAAGACAAGACAGACAAAAAAATCAACTGTATGACCATACAGAACAATACAAATAAAATTTTAAAAAATTCCATTTAAAATGGCATAGTGAACTGTGTAGGTATAAATTAAAAACAAGAAATGTAAAACATGTATACAAAAAATTATAAAACATTCTTGAAAGAAATTAAAGATGACATATAAATGGAAAGAAACTCAAGTTCCTGGATAAAAAGGCTTAATTTTGTTAAGATGGCAATACTCTGCAAATTGACCTACAGGTTCAAAATGATTCGTATAAAAACCTTAGCTGTGTTTGTTTGCAGAAATTGGCAAGATGATTCTTGAGTTCACATGGAAATAAAAGAAATTCAGAAACAGACAAAATTATCTTGGAAAAAATATTGCAGGACTCATACTTCTTTTTTTTTAATTTGTTTTACTGAGT